TGCTAAAGGGTGGGAAAATTTTCGTCCACATGGTCTTATTTATACTCAGCCGATGGGGGTGATGGTTACGCACGAGAGATGTGGCCTCTTAGGCCCTTGCCACTTGCTCTTTATTGGGATAATTTGATGATGACTAATCCCTTTCTAGTGTATTCCTTAAAGCCACGTGTGAAGCTTAATATTGAAGAGGAAAATTGGTTCCTTATTACTTAGGAAAATTTTTGGAGACATACTACAACACGTACGACTTTTTCCCTATATTATGAATAATTGGACGGATTTCTAGCCCTAATAAGGATTAATTACTAATTAATCCTTTAAATTATGCTTAATTATTTAATTAAACATAATGCTTATTTACCAAAATTTATTCCGAACGTAAACGGTACGTCGAAAATAAATTTCGGTAATCTCGACTTAACATAATTAATTCTGGAAATAATAAACGTTAACATTATTATATCGGAATTAAAAAATAATTTATACTAATAAAATGTCGGGATATTACAATCCTCCCTCCTTACAAAATTTCCGTCCTCAGAAATTCAAAACATGACTGATAATACATGAGCTATGTACATAAGATAACAAAATATGTACATCAAAACTGAAAATCTGGGAAACGAGCGCGAATATCGGATTCCTCCTCCCAAGTAGCTCCGTGGCGATCCCACTGAATACGCACGAGGGGAATATCTCGCTTCCGGAGCCGACGAACTTGACGGTCTAGTACAGCTACCGGTCGCTCCTCGTACCATAGATCTGGCTGAACCTGAATATCCGAGAGAGGAATGACATGATCGGGGTCGCACACGTATTTACGCAACATAGATGCGTGAAACACATTATGAATGCCTGATAACTCGGGAAGTAGGGCTAAACGATACGCGACTTTGCCTACTCATTCGAGAACCTCGAACGGACCGATGAATCGAGGGTGCAGCTTCCCTCTCTTTCTGAATCGCACAACTCCGCGAATCGGGCGAACTTTAAGAAAGGCTGGTCCGCCAACCTCGAACTGAATGTCTCGTCGATGATGATCGGCGGAAGATTTCTGTCGACTATAAGCTGTCCTGAGTCTCTGCCGGATCAACTCGACCTGCTCCGCTGTCTCCTCGATCATCTTAGGACCGAGTACTCGCCGCTCTCCGACGTCGTCCCAATAGAGAGGGGAACGACACTTACGACCATAAAGTGCCTCGTAAGGAGCCATCTGAATGGAAGAATGATAGCTGTTGTTATACGCGAACTCTGCATACGGCAACAATGACTCCCACTTCGCACCCCTATCAACAACCAAAGCGCGAAGCATATCCTCAACTGTCTGAATAGTCCGCTCTGACTGACCGTCCGTCTCCGGATGGTAGGCTGAACTGAACTCAAACTTCGTGCCCATCGCCTCATGTAAACTGTGCCAGAATCGACTGACGAATCTGGGGTCTCTGTCTGATACAATCGTTACGGGCACTCCGTGGAGTCGGATGATCCCACGGGTATATATCTCAGCCAACTTGTCCAGAGACATCTTCATCGAAACAGGCAAGAAATGTGCGACCTTAGTCAATCTGTCGACCACGACCCAGATAGCGTCGTGATGTTCAGACGACCTCGGTAATCCCGTAACGAAATCCATCGTGACTTCCTCCCACTTCCACCTCGGAATCGGCAGTGGCTGCAGGAGGCCAATCGGACTCTGATGCTCGGCTTTGACTTGCTGACAGGTAAGACATCTCCTGACGAACTCGGCGACGTCCTTCTTCATGCCTCGCCACCAGAATGACCCTTTCAGATCGTGATACATCTTCGTGCTCCCGGGATGGGCCAAATAGGATGCGGTATGTGCCTCTAATAAAATCTCTTTCCGTAACGCCTCGACCTTCGGGACCACGATCCTGCCTCTGAACTCTAAGGCACCATCGGCACCTAACTCAAAATCCTCGACGCCTCCGGCGCGAACCTTGGCCTCCATGACACGAACAAACTCGTCGGAAGCCTGCTCTCGCCGGATTCTCTCTCTCAGCGTCGGCTGAAGCTGCATAGCACTGATACTGGCACTGGTATTCCCTGAAACGGCTATGGAAAGTGCATCAATCGTCTGAAGCTGCATCCGGGCAAACTCATGAATCAACGGACTCTGCTGCGTAATGACGTACGTCAAGTCACCCTTCACCTTTCGGCTTAGGGCATCTGCGACGACATTCGCCTTTCCCGGATGATACTGAATAGAGCAGTCGTAATCCTTGACAAGTTCGAGCCAACGGCGCTGCCTCATATTAAGCTCCTTCTGCGTGAAGATATACTGCAGGCTCTTATGATCTGTGAAAATCTCGCAACGTCCGCCGTAAAGATAATGTCGCCAAATCTTAAGAGCATGAACGACTGCTGCTAACTCCAAGTCGTGCGTCGGATAGTTCTGCTCATGCGGCTTAAGCTGACGTGAAGCATACGCAACGACCTGGTCGTCCTGCATAAGGACACATCCCAAGCCCTGTCTCGAAGCATCGCTGAAGATAGTGAAACTCCGAGAAGGATCAGGAATAGTCAACACCGGTGCTGAAGTTAACCTCCTCTTGAGCTCCTGAAAGCTCGCCCATCGATCAGTCCACTCGAACTTCACAGACTTCCTCGTCAGCTGGGAAAGAGGGAGGGCAATCTTGGAAAAGCCCTCGATGAACCTGCGATAGTAGCCAGCTAAACCGAGAAAACTGCGAACCTCGGACGAACTCCTCGGTGTCGACCAGTTCTGAACGGCTGAGACCTTGGAAGGATCCACCTCGATACCTGCCTGAGTAATCACATGACCCAGAAAGGATACTCGCTGGAGCCAGAACTCGCATTTGGAGAATTTTGCGTACAACTTTTCTCGGCTGAGGGTTTCTAGAACCACCCTCAGATGCTCCTCGTGCTCCTTCTGGCTCTTCGAGTAGATAAGGATATCATCAATAAAGACAATAACGAACTGATCGAGGTAGGGATGGAAAATACGGTTCATGAGGTCCATGAAAACAGTTGGCGCATTGTTGAGACCGAATGGCATGACGACGAACTCGTAATGGCCGTAACGAGTCCTGAAAGCGGTCTTAGCAATATCTGACTCCTTAATCTTCAGCTGGTGGTAGCCTGATCGTAAATCAATCTTCGAGAACACACAGGCTCCCCTCAATTGATCAAATAAGTCGTCGATCCTGGGAAGCGGATACTTATTCTTGATCGTCAACCGGTTAAGATCCCGGTAGTCGATACACATGCGCATGGATCCGTCCTTCTTCTTAACAAAGAGAACGGGTGCTCCCCAAGGTGACATGCTTGGTCGGATAAAACCGAGTCGTAATAGTTCCTGAATCTGTGCCTTAAGCTCCTGCAACTCTTTAGGCACCATACGATACGGGGCTTTGGATACTGGTCCGGCCCCTGGAATGAGATCGATAGAGAACTCCACCTGACGGTTGGGCGGTCCTCCTGGAAGCTCGTCTGGGAACACGTCCACAAACTCGCGAATGATTCGAACATCATGGGGTGTTCGCGCTTTCTGAGAATCATCAACAAGGCTCACCAGATAACCCTGGCAGTTGCCTCGTCGCAGTAACTTAGTGGCTTTCGCCATCGAAACAACATGAGGCAGTGAACGATTCCTGGAGCCAAAGAAAGTAATCGACTCGTCTCCCGGAAGATAGAGAGTGATCTCCCGGTCATGACACCTGATGTCTGCATGATAAAAAGATAGCCAATCCATCCCGAGAATAAGATCGAAGTCCCTCATCTCGAGAACAAACGCGTCGGCAGTCTATACTTGGCCACCGATGGAAAGGCTAAGATCTGAGGCTTTAGCTGAGGTCACTATCTTTCGTCCCGAGGCTAAACTCACCTCGAGAGGATCGACAGCGGTAACGGCATGAACTCCGATGGCATCGAGACATCGTCGTGAAATGAAAGTATGTGTCGCTCCAGTATCGAATAAAGCAAACACAGGAATATCATTGAGAACAACCATCCCTGACATATACCTGGCTGTTGTGCTGCTTCTGCCTGATCGACTGCGTATACCCGGGCCTGCTGCCTGCCCATCTGCTGCTGCTGCTGCTGAGGCGGCCTCTGTGCCTGCTGACGTGGCTGCTGCTGCTGTGGTGGCTGCTGAGGCTGCTGCTGGAGTCTCTTCGGATAGCGACTCGCAAAATGACCCGACTCGTGGCAATAGTAGCAAATGTCCTGTCCCACATGGCACTCTCCCCTGTGAAGTAGTCCACAAGTCGGGCACGGTGGAATCGGCTGCTGTCTCTGTCGAGTCCTCCGGTCAGTCTGTGCACCCTTCCCCTTCCTCTTCTTCTCCTTTGCCGGCTGAAGGGCTGGTAGAGCTGGTGGAGCTGCGAATGGCTGAGTTGGGGCTGATGGCTGGGCACGATCACGAACTGTCTCCCTCCTGATGCTAGCGTCTACCTCCTGGGCGATAGAAACTGCGCGAGCATAGGTCTGAGTCCCGTGTCCCACGATGTTGTGACGGACTGCTGGGAAAAGCCCGTTGATGAACCGCTGCGCTCTCTGAGCCTCCGTGCGAACAAGATCCGGTGCGAAAGCTGCAAGTCTAGTAAACTCTCGCTCGTACTCATCAACTTTACGAGTGCCCTGCTGAAGCGCTAAGAACTGACGCTCCATCTCTGCCCGATAGTAGGAAGGGTAGTACTTATCGCGGACTAGCTCCTTGAACATGTCCCATGTACAACCCGCTTTTTCACCGGGACGCATGCTCCAGTAGGCATTCCACCAGAGCCTTGCATCACCAGTGAGCTGAAGCTGAGCGCAAACTACGCGATACCTATCGGGGCATTCCATACCCTAAAAGATAAATTCTAGGCCCTGAATCCATTCATCAACGATGCGGGGATCTCCCTGCCCTGAGAACTTTTCGGCGTGATAGTCGCGGAACTGAGCGACTACCCTAGCCTGAGTAGGAGCCTGATGATCGGGTTCCCTACGTGGCGGCATCTGAACCTTGAAAAAGTTTAACATTACTGAATACGCGATAACATTCTGACTGATTACTAAGGCACACAAATCTCTTGACGAGTCGCCAAAAGTGGCCGATAAATACTGACGTGAAACCTGAAGAACTCTAGAGTCATATCGAAAAGATACTAAAGTCTAGAGTCATATCTGAATGCCCTGAATTCTAGAGTCATGTCCGAACTCTAAGATTTGAATCTGATTCGAGCATCTTAACTAAAGTCCTGATCCTATATTCTGAGCATAGACAAAGTAATATGTTTATAACTGAAAAACTGAATCAGCACTTACCTGTCGTCGGCGGGGCGTCAGCATGACGGTTCAGGTTTTTCTGAAAAATTACTGACTGAAAATCTTTTTCAGAGACGCAGAAACGTGCTCTGATACCAATTGTAACACCCCTCCTTATCGTTAAATCAGAGTGCGAAAAATTCGCAATGTTATTTAAAAATAAAACCTTTTTACTTTGTGAAAACTGATTCGGGGTGCTACCTTAAAATCGTGACTTAATTTGGAAAACCGTTATTTGATTTTTAAGAAAATCATTCGGTTACTGAAAGCATAAGTTCTCAAAAGTTCGTCAAAAGATAAGTTCGTCAAAATACGAGTACGTCAAAAGTCATTAAAACATCGTCAAAAGTCATCAAAAACATCATTAGCGGAAGCGTAAGTCATCATAATAATTATACAGTCCAAAACATGAATATCCTGAAGTCTCCATCACGTCACGCTCCCGGCCCGACATCCTGACCTGAAAAACATGATAAAAGTGGGAAATGAGCACTATGGCACTGTGCTCCGTGGAAACTCATACTAATGTAAAACATTGAAAATAATAACAACATCATGATATCAGTATATACATAACCTCAACCTCAAGCCGGTAATAACATGAACATGAATCTGAAATCGTCACGTAACCGTGACCCTGAAATCGTCACGCAACCGTGACCCTAACTGTTACCTCATCTGCCGGCAAAGCCGGACACCATGTGCACACTCTAGTGGGCAGACTAGGGCCACTAGAACCCAGAATGGACCGGCGACCATTCCGAGCGGATACCTCAACTGAAATACATACCTCAAACATGGTACCGTAATTATAATCAATGTAGTACTTAGTCTGAGTCCCCACCTGAACTGCTGAATTGAACGGTAGTGCTGATGCCTGATCAAACTGAAAATAATATAAACAATTACTATTGACTATGCTCCGACTGTTAACTTAACTGATAAATTTCGTTAAGATGCTCTACTGAACTTAACATGATATTTAGACTTATCCGGAATAACCGGAACTGACTTAACATGAACTGATTGGACATGAATTTACTGAACTGAAATAATCCCGGAAATTTTACTGAAAATATTATTAAGATCATGAACCGGGCTGAACCTTAACTTAAGAATCGAACTGATTTAAAAACGGGGCTGAACCGGTCCAGCCGGTCTGAACCGGTCTGGACCGGACTGCGGTTCGACCGAACCGGCAGTCGGCTC